CCAGATTATTCCAAATAGGTGACATTCTCAAAAATACCTCTCAAGGTCATCAAAAACAAGGAATATCTGAGAAACTGTCCCAGCCACAGAGAGCCTAAGGAGTTGTGCCTGTTACATGTCATGTGGTATGCTGGATGGGATCTTGGGAAGAAAAGCCCATCATCAGGAGTTAAAAACTGATGTCCACACCAAAACTAGTGCAGGAATGTTTACAGCATCTCTATTCATAATTACCAAAGCTTGGGAACAATTGAGATGTCCTTCAGGAGGTAAATGGATAAATAAATGGTGTTACATTGAAATAGTGAAATATTCAGTGCTCAAAAAATTGGCTATCACACCATAAAGAAACATGGAGGAAACTTACAACCATATACTAAGTGAAAGAAGCCAATCTGAAAAGGTTAAATTCTGTATGATTCCAACCACATGACATTCTGGAAAAAGCAAAACTATGGAGCTAGGGAAAAGATCAGTGATTACCAGGGGCTAGGAAAGGGAGGGATGGATGGGTGGAATGCAGAAGATGTTTAGGACAGTGAAAAGTACTCTCCATGATACTGTAATTATAGATATGTCATTGTACATTTGTGATAACCCACAGATTGGACAGCACCAAGAGCAAACTGTTAGAAAAAGCATCGACTTTGGGTAATTGTGACGTGTCAAGGAGACTCATCAGCTTCATGACTGTCCACTCTGGTGGAGGGGCAGACAGTGTGGGCAGCTGGGTCAGTGGGCAACGGGGTGGGGGGCATATATGGAAACTGTACTTCCTGCTCAAATTTGCTGGAAACCGAAAGCTACTCTTAAAAATAAAGTATTTTAAAAAGAACACTAGGTGAAAAGTAAGGAAATCTAAACAAAGTATAGGCTTTAGTAATACTATGTCAATAGCAGTGCAATCATTTTATAAATGTGGCATTTTAATATAAGAGGTTACCCCCAGGGGATGCTGGGTGAGGCGTGGACCAGAGAACCAATGGCATCGATAGATGATATTTGAGCTGGATCCTGATGGATGAGCTGGTGTGTGCTGGGCAAAGTAGGACTGGAAGGGCGTTCTAAGTATGGGAAACAGAAGGAGCAAAGGCAGGAAGTGAGCAAGTGCACTCAGAAAGGGGTGGGTGAGTAGCTTAGTGCAGCCATAATGGAGTGTGTGTGTGTGTGTGTGTGTGTGTGTGTGTGTGTGTGTGTGAATTTGGAGTGACGGCTGAGCCAACAGGGACAGTCCTACATAGCCTGGTCTAACACTGTGCCCCCTTGCTTAAAATAGAAAGATCAGGACAGAGTTGGGATGGGATCACAGGAAGGCTGAAGGTCTGCAGGAAGCCAGTGGGGGAAGTTCCATGTTCCCTGCCAAAGCTTAGAGAAACACTTCTCAAAAAAGATCCTGGAGGCCACATGTTCCCTTTAAATAGGCTTTGTGTTCTGACCTACAGTTTTCCTCCAATAAAAAACCTGGCTGCGTCTGGAGGGTCAAGGGCAACTTCTCCTTATTTCAGAGGCCACCTTGATCTCTCTCTCCCTGAGGAACAAAGCTGTTTTATCTTGCCTATGTCCCAATAATTTTCTAAAGCACCACACTGTGAGTGCCTGTTTGGGGAGCTCACGCTCCCTAAGGTGGTGGTCAGGACAATGGGGATGGATCTTTTTTTGAGCCAGTTGTATGAGAGTCTTCTGGAGAGCATGTAGGAAAAGACTCTTTGAACTTCTAAGTAAACCAGTCAACTTGCGTAGCTCTGAGTCCTTGGAATTCTCAAACAGGGGCTTCTGGAGTGGAATCCAACCACAGATGTGACCCTTGTTGTCTTTACTGCAGGCCAGGACAGCATTTTTAGAGATTTTCAGTTAGGTGCCAGCCCAATTCCATATACACACATTGAGATATTGGGGCATTTCTTAAAAGTTCAAGGAGTCTCCGTTTTTATCAAAAAATGTACAAGTATATACAAAAAAAAAAAATCATGACATCTGAGAATACTGACCGCCACGCCACATGTTCTGTCAGTTGGAGCTGAGTGCTGACCCGCAGGTGCCAGAAAGTACCCAGATTGCCCCAGTCACCAGCACTTCCTTATTTCCCCTGTCCCCCAAAGGCACGGTCGGTTTCCAGGCTCGCATACTACTGTTTTCTCTACAGCTGAGTTAAGGAAAGAAATACAATTTCTTGTGCCCAAACACAAAAAGGGAGGTGACAGAATATGGTGAGGTTCACGTCTTTTTTGTGGAAGCGAGTCTCTTTCTCTGTGTTCAACATGAAAACAAAATATGTCTGTTTTTAAAGACTGCAGCTCGAGTCCCCATTATGAACCCAATCTGTCCTCCTTCACTTTATGTTACTAGCTCAGCCCCATAAATAGTTTAGTATGAAACCCTGAAGGAGGTACTGTTATTGTCAGCAATTTGGAGATGAACAAATAGAAGTCCCAACAGCTTATGGGACAGCTGTGACAGGGGTTAGGGGAACGCTGTGTCCAGGCTACCGCACCTGTGTCATCCGGGCACCAGACTGCCTCCGAAGGTTGACCAGAAGGCGCTTCCCATGTGTGACTGCAGGTGGACATTTTCAGCAGAAGTTCCCCCATCAGGGACTCTCCCTGCCAGCCGTTCAGAGCCATGGACTGATTCCTCTGCCCACACAGTCACTTCAGGTGCCTCAGCGAACACAGGGGCTCAGAAGCTGAGACAGCTTCCCCAGCTCATTCACTCACTCGCCCAACATTTCCTGAGAGTGGCAGGTGGGAAAAGATCAGACAGTGGATGCAGGGAGTCCCCGGTTTAAACTCTGGGCTCCTCAACCTCCCAGCTCCGTGACCTTGGACAAACCCTGGACATCCCCATGCTTAACGTTCTTTCGGGGAAATGGGGTGAGCCACAGCTTCCCGTATCATGGAGTGAATGTGATGAGAATGAATGGAGAGCTTTAGGTAAAACGGACCTAGCCCAGTGCTTGGCAGCTAGGATTATTTTTGTTATTGTTTATAACTTTCCTTAGAGTTACTGTTGCCGGGGTCCCCATCTCATCAAGGAGGGTCTTTGCAAGGCTGAGCTTTCCTCCCAAAATGGCCCTTGGGGGAAGAGAAAGGGCTTGGAGGGAGCAGGTGCAATGCCCTGTGTGCAACCCCCCACCTGTGGGATTACACCAACGACTTTCCCTGCAGGAACTGGCTGCCTCCAAAGGGGCGTGGCTGGGAGGAGTGTGAATAGAGCAACACAGGTGTGTGCCTTGTGAAAACCCTGTCTGCCAGGGCACCTATAAAAAGGGCCGTCCCTCTCTTGTCTTGCAGATGAAACAGCTGCAAGCCTGCTAGCTCACGCTGGTGTCTGAAATTGCACTCCGAACGAGGTAAGAGCCTGGGTCTCTTAAGAGTGTGGTTGACTGCCCCACTTCCAGCTTCTCTGAGGGCCTCAGGTTCCTGGGGTCTGGATCCCATCGGGGGCCTGCGGGGGCAGAGCCCCAGTGCTGTAAGGAACACGTGGATTTTCATCAGGTGCACCTGGCCTCCCATCCCACCTTCATGCCTGTGACTGCCTTTCCCCTTCTCAATCCTAATGGCAGGTCAGACGCCCAGGGTGGAAATGAGATCAGGGCCATTTCCCAGGCCAGCTTCTTTTCAAACAAAGTCAAGATTTCCTTTTCAAATGGAGCACTGATAAGACGAATCATCTTGTCACCACGAATAAAGCCAAACCAAATACTGAGTTGTTCATGATTGCTTTTTTATTTTTTGCCAATAGTTTTCAAAGGCAGAGTAAGGTGAAGGCAAGAAGGGTGGTGTAACCAGAACCAGAGAGATGAGTTCTGGCTCCCTGTCCCAAATTTTGTCATTTGCCCCTCATGGGATCTTGAGCGATTTATTTGCCAGTCTGAGCCCTAACTGTCACATCTGTTACTGGAGAGATTTTTTTTTTTTTTTTTTTTTTTTTACCTACCAGGGACGGCTCTTGTGTGGGCTAATAAGGCAGGAATCAGATACTAGTCAAGTGCAAAAATACTATTTCTCTTCTCCCTTCAAGCGTGGTTTTGTTGCCCACATGATAAAATCCATGTAGGTTAGTGTAGCATTTAAGATTATCCTATTTATCCAATGATTTATTCTCAAATGCATTGGTTAAAGGCATGTTCTATGCCCAGTACTGTGCTACAACAGTCTAAATGCTCTGGTGGAAATTCACACTTCTCCACCCTGGGTCACTTTGCCCAGTCAAGTTGGATAATCTCCCCTCCTTTGTGCCTTTCCTTGGGCTCTTACTGCATCCCAAATGCCCCTCCTCACAAACCCACCCATCTCAGAGGGTACAAACCTTGTGCATGTCTAACCTTGGGTCAGGCATCACTTCCCCTGTCACTTACCACATCCTTTCTCATAGTGTGGTCATCTGAGTCCACGTAGAATGTGAGATAGAAATCCAGCACACTGGAGCTGTGGACAGTTATCTCATTCAATACCTTGATTTTTAGATAAAAGACCTGAGACCCAGAAGGGGAGGGGAACTTGCCCAAAATTAAGTTGGGGGCACGACTGAGGCAGACTCCTAGTCAATACTATTAAGAATCCCCAAAGAAGAGTTGCCTCTAAGTTTTTAAGATGTGAGACTTTCTTATTTACTTTGATAAATCCAACATCTTGTCTAATGCATGGCATATCGTAGGTGCTCCATTAATGCCTGTTGAATGAGTGAATAAAGGCATGAGCAAGTGAGAAAATGCAGGAGAAAATAAGGGTGTAAACAAGGGAGTGAGAGTTAATAAGGTTCAGAGAGCAGGGAAGGGAAGAATGAAGAGTAGTAGGTTTTTGATATCCAAGACTCTAGTCAAGCAGAAATATGAATAGACAGGCTTATTGTCTAGTAATTCCAGGAACCAGAAGCCTTCTTGATTTCACTCCTAAGTGGGCCTTGTGTGTCAGAGGGAAGGGAGGCTCAGTTTGCAGCCCTGCACTGCTGACCTGCTGCCTAGCATGGGCTCACCTACCTTGTGTCAAACAGGTTCCCACCAAACTGAAGGCATGAGGATCCACAGCCTCACCCTGCTGTCCTTCCTCCTCCTGGCTGCTCAGGTGTTCTTGGTGGAGGGCAAAAAGGAAGTAAAGAATAGACGTGTCAACAAAGCCACCACTCTGGGCAAGCCCCAGACTGAGCAGAGAAGCCAGCCACCAAAGTACCTGATCAAGGGCAAGTTGGTCACCCAAGACCAGGCCGACTGCACATGGGTGGTGACTGAGGAGAAGGGCATCGTCCTGAAGGTTGATTGCACCCGACTAGATGAGAAGTTTTCCTGTTTCTTTACTGGCAACCCAGCCTTGTGCCTGGAGTTGAACAAAAAGAGCTATTGGAAACAAATTGGCAGGAGCCTGCGTTCTCAGAAGGTCATCTGTGGGGATCCCAAGAGCGTCCTGAAGACCAGGGTGTGCAGAAAGAAGTTTCCAGAATCTAATCTCAGGCTGGTGAACTCTACTCTAATTAGGAAGAAATCCAGCCAGGAGACCATGGAGCCGCCTTCCACCGAGCAGAGCATAGACAATGAGGCCTCCCTCGTGGAGCCTGACAAGGTCAAAGAGAACACCCTCTCTGGCCCTGCAGAGTCCAAGACCTGGGGCTCCAATGACCCCGAGTGCCTGGACGACCCGGACATGGCAAAGCAGAAGAAGGCAGCCGAGGAGTACTGTGGGCAGTACTGGAGCTCTTTCTGCAAATTCTTCATGATCATGGTGGAGGGCAATTCATGCTAATGAGGTCCAAAGAGAGCGGAGGCCACTAGGTGTCCTGTCCAAGCCCTTCAGGGTGCGGTAAAGCTCTCCAAGTTCCCTGTAAGATGAACATTTGTACTACAGCATGTGGGGAGTTATTTAAACGATTTTGTAACTTCTGTTTTGTGTTTTGGAGTTTGATTTATATTCCCTTCCTCAGGTGTGAGCTTCAGCCGTTGTTTCCCCCGGTGTTTCCAGGGTCCACAAAGCTCTGTGTGTCTGAGCGATGACAAGCTGTCTCTGAGCTTGAATGAGCCAGAGGGATGATTTCTGTGCAAGGCACTTTTGGCTGAATTAACAAAAATAATAAAGCTCTGTGCATTTTTAAAACATACATTCAACCATTGTCTAGTTTCTCTAAGTGTCTTTCCAATGGACTCATAAGCAGGTTCCTGTAAATCTGGTGAAAAAATATCTAAAGAATGGTTTCCTGTTCCCCACTCATCCCAAGTCATCCCATAAGGTGACAAACTCCAAACCCCTCTCTTTGTACTTTCCTCTGTTGGTCTGTGGAGTTTGAGGCTCACTGTACTGATTTCAAAAGGGACACCTGGGGCATGAGGTAAGACACCTGCCACGGTTTCACAGATAGTAGGAAGGGAGGCAGGATATGAACCTACAAGGTCTGTAAGCCAACTCCGCAGGCTGGATAAACACCCTCTATGGGCTCAAGTCAGAGCTTCCCATTACCAGATACCATCTGCAGGACCCCTGACCTGGAGGAGCTCATTTCTGGCCTGAGGGAGAAAAGTCTGAGAACGACCAGTGTCCTGTGATAAACACTCTGATGGAAAGGATGTGGGGGCAGGCAGCATGATAAACCAAAGAGAGGAGGAAGAAACTGCTGGAAGATCTCAATTTGAGCTTTAAGAAAGAGGTGATACTGGAGCTAAAATCTAAAAAGAGTATCTGTAGGTAGGAAACAGGGCAGAATGGAGGCATGTTAGGCAGACAACAGCATGCATACAAGCAAAGATAGGAGAAAATCATAGAAGAGGGAAGAGGCCACATAGCTGGGATGTGGTGAGACACAGGGATGGCACCGTGGTTAGTCATTTACACGTTAGTACGAAGGATCTGAAAATGTTTTAATGCAATAGCTGGGGAGAGGGAACAAACTGTCCCCATTGCCTTGTCACAATTGCACAGAGAACAGAAAGTGAGGAGCCAGGTTTGGTGAATGCACAGTGTGTTTGGGAGTCTCTTCAGAGTCGGTGGCAGGGAAGAATGGCCAGTGGAGTGGAAGAGTAGTATTTTACACTCACTGTCGGACCAGGACCTACATTGAGCATGGTCAATGGCCAATCCAGAGTGTGACAGCCTCAGAGTCCATTTGAATGTTGTCATCGTCGTCGTCATCATCAACGCAACATGTATCTCTCACTTTCTATGTCCAGGCACTATGCTAACCTTATTCCATGGAGTAAACTTGTATTCATTTGTTCACTCTGTCATATAACACGTACTATATTGAGCACAGACTCTGTCAGACTTTTCTAGGAGCTGGGCATAGAGCAGTCCACAAGAGATGGCAGTTCTGCCCCCATGGAACTACCAGTGGAAAACTGATGATAAACTCATAAATGTGCAAGCATCAAAGAGGAAAAGTAAAGGAGGGGTGGTTGAAAGTGATGGAAGATAACCAGTTTTAGATGAGGAATTTAGGGGAGGCCTCTCTATGGAGGTGACTTCTGAGTCTAGACCTAAATGAAGCGAGCAATCAAGCCAGGTGACTCTCTTGGGCAAGGGTGCTCTAACCAGAGGGACAGTCAGTACACATGCCCTGAAATTAATAAGCTATGAGCTCCCATTATGGGCCAGGCATCATTCTAGGGGAAAGAAATAACAGCAAACAAAAAAGAAAAAATAATTCATCTTCTTATGGCATTTGTATTTCAATAGCTGGGTCATGCTTGACATGTTCAGAAATATTAAAGATGGCAGAGTCATTATAAGAGAGACCTGACCTGTGAACCTTATCCCTGTTCCCAAGAGAAAGGGCCTAACAGCTCAGACCCTCCCACTGGTCTTCCTGGCCCCACACAGGAGGATTTTCTCTTATCATCTGCACAGATTGTCAGCCCTCTGCCCCCTGCCCCCTGCCCACTTATACATCTTAATTCTACATCGTCCTGAAACAGGAAAACTCTTCCAGGGGTCCTTAAACCTGGCCTAGATAATGTAAACATGGAGAACCAGCCAGACCAGACCAAATCAAATGGGAAGGCTTCTTTAGGACCTCTCCAGCCTATAAGATCAATGGTTCTTCTAAGTCACACATGGCTCTGGCCACTGGCAGAACTGGGAGGAGGCTTGTTTCCAACGTGGTAGAGTCAGCAGGGCCAGGGTTAGAGGTTTGTCTCTGCTGCTTCCCAACCAAGGCCCCCCGGATCAGTCATTGAACTCTTCTGACCCCCAAGGGGTTCACCTTGACGAGGGGGATAAAGAAACAATCTTTAAGGGTTGTTGTAAGACATACATTAGTCAATAAGTCTCAGACACCTAGAGCTCCACCCAATGCTCACATAGTAGCAGTTCAACGCAAGCAACAGTCTGAAGTCCACAGTGCAAGGCTAGACTTCACTTATGGAGAGAGGTCAAAAAATTCTTATGTAAACTCTTTAAAAAGTAATACAATAAACAAAGAGGAACAGCCATTACCCATCACCTACTATGTGCCAGTGGCTTTGCCTTATTTTCTTAAATCCCCCCAACATTTCTGTCTGATAAATGCTATTGTCCTCATTTCCTAGATACAAAAAGTGAGGCTCAGAGAAGCCGAGAAACTTGCCAGGGTCTCAGAGCCTCTAAGAGGCACAGACTGCAAGTGAGCTACCCAGGTCTGGAGGTCTCCAAGCCCTTTCTGCTGCACAATTTTCTTGATCAGAGGAAAGTGACATTTGTGGTCTTTAGACAGGAACCAAGCCATAAAGCCAACAACAGTCCCTTTTATGTTCTTTGATAAACAAATTTCCAGAAGCTAAACTTTCCATTCCTGCTCAGTCTCCTCATAGTCACAGCCTGAAGGGATGTTTTAAGAACACAGTAAAAAACATATAAAGACACCACAGAATATCTGGCTTGGCTCTCCCTATTCTCTCTGAGGACTTCTGGATACCAAGTGGAGGAGGCAGTGTGTGTGTGTGTGTGTGTGTGTGTGTGTGTGCGCGCGTGCGCGCGCGCATGTGTTTTATTAAGATATGATTCCCCTTTGCTAGCAAGAGACAGAAACCTTTTCAGGTAAGTAAAAGGAGCTGCAGAATGGATAGCGTGTCTGCTTCCCCTAGAGCCACGAAGTAGCAGGAATGTCTCACGTTCCTTATAAAACCATGTCTCAGCAGAAAACAGGGCCTCTTTCCCCTGGTGGCCTGGGCTCAGTGTTGTAACGCTCATCCACACTGGTGCTGACTTGAAGTTCTGGAGTCTAGCGCGTCTCACCTGGCCTTTGACCCATCCCCCTCTTTTCCCAGGCTCCCTCCTAAATTGGTTTTGGCAGAACAAAGGACAGGTAAGTGCCTGGGGTTGACAGCCTCTGTGCAAATGCAGGCCCCACCCCTCCTTCCTCCCTGATGCTGATTTTCATAACACAGCACATGCAGTGCTCACTCACCTTGAAATCTCTCCCTCAAAAACATGAGCCACCCTACTGGGTGAGGGATCAGGATGGAGCATGGGGAGAAGATTCTAGAGAAAGGCTGTTTTGGGCACTGGTGAGTTTGAGATGGGTTATTCAGGGGAAGTTCCCATCAGGTAGTTGGATACATAGATAATAACCCAGAAAAGAGAGTCGCCATCGTGTCTGTCACTGCAGCCCCAGCGCTTGGGTGCAGCCCAGCACATAATAAATCCTCAGTAAATATTGGTTGAGTGAATAAAAGAGGAGAGAAATCATGACAAGGGCAAAGATGATGGGCTTCAGAGGAAAAGAAAACTGGATTTGAGTTTCTCTCTGTGTGGCCTGAGACAAGTTTTTTTTTTTTTTCTTTTTGTCTAAGCCTCGGGTTCCCCTTTTAAAAGGTGATCTAAGTGTATCTATCCAATAAGAATTAGACATGATTTAATTACGGTCTAAAACATGGGTTCTTACCCAATGGATTCTCATTAAGATTTTGTTATATGTGAGTGAATGAGTGAGTGAATGAATGAGCCAATTAGCTGAGAGAGGAGAAAAGAAGGCAATTTTTCAGGAAGGCTACATGAGACTCATGACATGTCACGTCAAGGATCTGAGTGTCACCGGAGCCTCCCTGTTCCTAGTCACTTCCCAAAGTCCACCCTCTGCCTAAGGGTTGTTCAGGCCTCCCATACTTGCGGACTGGCCAGAAACACTTTCCATGAAGTAGGAAAAGGTAAGGACAAAGTTGGTTCTTTAGGGCAACCTTTAAGATTTCCTTAACCTGCCTCCCAGTTTACTTCCCATGGCTCCTCCTCTTTCTCTTCTTCACGTCTACAGCTTGAGTGCTCTGGGGCTGGGGTTTGGCAAAAACAAGAGTCCAAGAATCCAGATAAGCCCCCCAAAATAGATACCACTGCTATCGGGGATGCTTGAAGCTGGAGCGCTCACAATCTGGGAACAAGGCAAGGCAAGGGGGTCGACCTCAGAGCAGACGCAGGTGTGAGTGTCAAACAGCACAAAATGGGCACTTACCAGTCGCTCCCTGTATGATAGAGGCGGTGGTTCCCAGGCGTGGCTGCATGCTGCAATCACCCAGGGGGCTTTCAGACCAACAATAAATGGACAGCTCAGGGATTTTTGAAGCTCCACAGGTCAGTGCGATGTGTAGCCAAGCTTGAAATCCCAGCATGATCTTGTTTCATCCCAAAGACCATCCTGCGGTGAAGACTGGCCTATAGATAAGGAAGTAGGGGTGCAGGGAGGTATGAGATTTGCTGCGTCAGAGTTAATAAGAGTCTGGGTCTGGAATCTCCCCTAGAGCCCACACTCCCAGGCATACATACAGACTCGAAGCTGCTAACTTTCA